TTGTCAGCTACAAAAACCTATGGCTTTGGTGTCCTATTCTGATTTCCTCTCAGGCTGCTCAAAACACATGAACATTGCTTGTTGCTTTAAACGAGCCAGGATTAGTAGTTGGTAGAAATAAATTGAGTGTGCACTGGTTTACTGTTATGTGTGAATATGGTAACACTGTTGAAAGTTGGACAGCGTGGATTGGTTTTGACCAGAGACGTTGAGATGCAGACTACTGCCCAGATGTGAAATGCACTAAATGCCCTTGAGGCCAACCCTACAACAAAATGTAACACTATCCCCTGCGTACCTCTTCTTTGAATAGAACGTATTACATTTTAGCTTCTTTAAGTAGGGAAAACTAACTAAATTTCACATCACAATGTAGTCAAAACTGCACATTTAGCCAATGAGAAAGTAATAATTTGAAGTGCCAGAGATACAGACATTTCCTAGCTAAATAACATCTACTTGGCTATCTACAATTTGGAGCACAAACAAAAAAACCTGAATACTTAATAATGGAAAAGTTCCACTGCTGGTTTTCATTTGTTATTAAAGTGAGATTCCTATCAAAATGCAGATTATTTAGGTCAATGAATTAATATTTCAATCATATGAACTTAATTTTCTAACAATACTGGATAGTTTACATCAATTGTAAGTTTATTATCATTCAATCCACTCAGTAACCAGAGCTTTTGGGTAGATCACAGAGTGAGGTTTTAGAACATATATTTAGGCTAGCAAAAATTATATAATACCAAAATAATTACAATTGAAATGAAAAATAACATGGTTGCTTAATTAAATGGTGGCAAATAGTTAAAATCATAATAAAGCCATGTCATATTATAATGATGTTAATACAACTATTTTCATTAATGTAAGATCATTGTTCACACATATTCTAAATAAAAATAATCTTTAAACAGGTACGCATGTATTTGTTTTCATAGCTGATCAAATTAGAGAAATTTCTCTTCTGCCACAAACTGAGATATACAGTATGCAAAATCATTGTATTTGTCTGATTTGAGAATACTTCCCTCCCTCCTTCCCTCCCTCTCTCTCTTCCAGCCTTCCGGAAAGGATTAAAGACCTGGCTCTGCCAGCTTGTGTGGGGTGACAACAATCTTACCCAATCCTGGG